GCTGACTAGTAACACCTCTAGTGCCAGTCACTCAGAAAGCCACTATAGGTGCTTCGTGGTCTAGTGCTGCACAATACTCATTTATGACATTACAGTGTTCCTTTTACTTTGCATTCTTGCTTTATAAATCTCTACAAAGAAGCAAAAGTGTTGGGGTCTTACAACTCTAAACCTCTTCCGGCTCAAATTGTGTAATCATATCTGCTAATTAAAATTACTATGTTTGTAGAAAAAAATACTTGATCTGCATGTGCTTGTTAGCAGGCAAATTACAGATCCTTTTATGGACAAGTAATTTGGATCCAAAATGGTTATTATTCTGACCCTAATTTTAAAACCCTCATAAGAGCCATAATATTTAAGTATAATGTATAGTGAAAATGCAATTTTGGGGTTATTTTTTTTTCCCCGTAATACACAGCTACTCCACTTCTGATTTGCTCCTCTTATCATTAGAGAATCACGATGTTTCTGTGGAGAGGGACTGAACATAACTTCCTAACTTCCACCAATGTCAAGCAGGGAACCTGGTGCTGCCCTAGGATTAGCACTCTGTGCCACATTGCCCAACATGGGTTTACTTCAGGGAGATCATGCCAAACTAATCTTATTGATTTTTTTTGATTGGGTAACTAAAATTATAGATCAGGGTGGTGCAGTAGACATTGCTTACCTAGATTTCAGTAAGGCTTTTGACACTGTTGCACATAGAAGGCTTATCAATAAACTGCAATCTTTAAGTTTGGATTCCAATATTGTTGAATGGGTAAGGCAGTGGCTGAGTGACAGGCAACAGAGGGTTGTAGTTAATGGAATATATTCGAAGCTTGGACTTGTCACCAGTGGGGTACCTCAGGGATCTGTACTTGGACCCATTCTCTTTAATATTTTTATTAGTGATATTGCAGAAGGTCTTGATGGTAAGGTATGTCTTTTTGCTGAAGATATGTAACAGGGTTGATGTTCCAGGAGGGATAAGCCAAATTACAAATGATTTAGGTAAACTAGAAAAATGGTCAGAATTGTGGCAACTGACATTTAATGTGGATAAGTGCAAGATAATGCATCTTGGACGTAAAAACCCAAGGGCAGAGTACAGAATATTTGATAGAGTCCTAACCTCAACATATGAGGAACGGGATTTAGGGGTGATTATTTCTGATGACTTAAAGGTAGGCAGACAATGTAATAGAGCAGCAGGAAATGCTAGCAGAATGATTGGTTGTATAGGGAGAGGTATTAGCAGTAGAAAGAGGGAAGTGCTCATGCCATTGTACAGAACACTGGTGAGACCTCACTTGGAGTATTGTACACAGTACTGGAGACCGTATCTTCAGAAGGATATTGATACCTTAGAGAGGGTTCAGAGAAGGGCTACTAAACTGGTTCATGGATTGCGGGATAAAACTTACCAGGAAAGGTTAAAGGATCTTAACATGTATAGCTTGGAGGAAAGACGAGACAGGGGGGATATGATAGAAACATTTAAATATATAAAGGGAATCAACACAGTAAAGGAGGAGACTATATTTAAAAGAAGAAAAACTACCACAACAAGAGGACATAGTCTTAAATTAGAGGGACAAAGGTTTAAAAATAATATCAGGAAGTATTACTTTACTGAGAGGGTAGTGGATGCATGGAATAGCCTTCCAGCTGAAGTGGTAGAGGTTAACACAGTAAAGGAGTTTAAGCATGCGTGGGATAGGCATAAGGCTATCCTAACTATAAGATAAGACTAGGGACTAATGAAAGTATTTAGAAAATTGGGCAGACTAGATGGGCCGACTGGTTCTTATCTGCCGTCACATTCTATGTTTCTGTCACACCATACATAATCATTATTTCTTTGGTAAAAAAAAAACCACTGAAGTATGGGATGTGGAGAAAAGTCTAACTATTGAAATAACAAGCTGCTTATATTGTGTATGTCTAGGGGGTCCTGCTTTTTCTGAGTTGTTTAAGAACAAGCTAAATCAGTAATAATGCAATATTATGAAAACACAAATTTTTCATGATTGTACTTGTTCTCCCAAAATCAGGAATTAGTTGTGTGCCAGCACTACAGTATTTGTATGTTTTGCTAATGGTGCAATATTGGCAAAATGCATCCATTTACAGTCTGACACCCTTACTGAATTCTGCCAACTTTGGATTACTAAATAATTCAATACTGCTTTCATTTTAAGGTTTGTTTTGTCTGTACAAAAAAAACCCCTAGAATTTCAAAGAGTGAGGCTGGGAGTTACTGATTGGAATATAGAATATCTTTTCCACAGTTGCCATATTTAATTCTCATAGTATACTGACCTTATAAAGGATTCCTTTTTATTTTTATTTTTTAGCTGTTTATTTTAAAAATTGTCTGTGAATATTGTTAACCTGAGAAATTGGCATCATTCACAAAAATCAAACTTTAATGACAACCATGTAACTTTGATATTTCTGATTAAAATTTAATAGAAAAATGTGTAACACTTATATGCATGGTTATAATATGCCATTTTTCCTTGTATGTATGTATGTATGTATTTATTTATTGTGAGTGAAGTTATTTCACCATATCCACTGGTTAGTTTTTCTTTTCTTCTTCATAAACGTTTATAGGAATGCTTTATTGATTTGATTGAAAGTCCAAGCACATGTCTTGCTAACGGCCACTAGAGGTGCTTCCTATACAATGACCAAAAGCAGCTAGTAGGAAAACATTTGATTTGGATTTGTTTGCGGTGCATAATGTCCTCAATGCTCTGCTGTAGAGTACTGGGTTGGGCTGTAGCCTAGAGAGAAATGTCTGCTGGACGATGTCGTAGTAGACAACCACACAGAGGTATACAACAATCTAACCGAGTGTTGCATTCCACTATGAGTAAAAATATAAGAATTAGAATAGCATTAAAGCAGAGGAAGTGTGTGTGGGTAGGTATAATATTAATATTATTTTTTTTTTTTTTTTAAGTTGGGAAACTCAAATCTGAATATGGACAAGGAGCACCGCTCATAATTAGACGCCCTGTAGTCAGCCCGTCTAATCTTGGTATGGAGTCAGGCTGGGTCTTGGTTGAATGTATATAGCCCAAGCCGGACACCGGTGTCTTGTCTAGACTAGCGTATCTAGGGTGTACATTTCGTTCGCTAGGTCGGAGGGACCGGGAGACTAAGCAGACTCTGGTGTACATTATCGTTTGCTAGTTCTCAACCTATCTTGGCTAAGTGGGAAGGCGTGTAAATTTGGAACCCACTAGACTATTGATAGAGTAGATAGACTAAAAGGGTATTGTTGTAAATTCCGCCCTCTAGTTTGCTATATGTGGTGCTTGGGCAGCGATGGCTAACCAAAACGGATGTAAATAGTTTTAGGTAGTCCCTCGAGGTACTGTCCAATAGATTAGTTGGGAAACTGTAAATGTGTTAAAATTTATTATAGTAGAGTGTATATCTTGCTGGGTAGCGCGAGCTCTGCCGTCTAGCGAGAGTGTGAATAGTGTGTAACTGTATCATAGCGCACGGTACCATAACCATGTATTATAATCACTGATACTGTAAATAATCACTAATAATTGTCGTTTATGTTGTATGTTTAACACCATAACTACTATTAACTGACCTGTGACTTTAAAATTGTATTCTAACCAATGCTAACCGTACTATAACTACTGTTTGTAAAGACGATGTTACTAGGGTGTGTTATAGACTGGTAATTTAAATACTGAGAATTATAGCGTGGGTAATTGTATAATTTCGCCAAAAAAGGTACAGGAATAGTTATTTAGTGTGTGGTGCAACAGCTGTGTGTGTACGGGAATTCCCTGTATGATTTGTTGTGTGCGTTTGGCCTAGTAACTGTGCCACGTGGTGCTGTTGCCAAGGGAAACGGGTGTGACTGTTGGAAGTGTATTTTGTTTTGTTTCTATTGGAGACGACGCTCCATTGTTAAGTATGGGTGCGTTGGATTCAAAGATCGTTGATCCCTTAGATTGCATGTTAAAGAATTTTAAAAAGGGATATAATGTATGTGATTTTGGGGTAAAGATGTCTCCAACACGTTTGACTACTTTATGTAGCAGGGAATGGCCTGCCTTAGTGGTTGCATGGCCTCCACGTGGTAGTCTTGATCCTAATCTAGTGCAGCGTGTACACGTAGCTGTATCTGGTAGGCCGGAACTTTACGACCAGTTTCCATATATTGATTGTTGGAAACAGGCCGTGGATGACTTGCCAAAATGGATCAGGGTGTGCCAAGAGGAGCAATGCCGCCTCCTGTTGGCCAGAACTCGTTTGTCCACCAAGGTCGTGATCACGCCCATTCTGGACACGCCCCTTCAGTCAGAGATTCCTTTACCGCCCCCTTACTCCTCCTCTACAGGAAGAGGAGGTGCGGCTAGTAATGCCCTTGCCCCATTGTCTCCTCCTACCCCATCCTCTAGCTCAGAGCCCAGCCCACTTGTTCTAAACCCTCCCCTTCCGGTACCTACCCCCACTAACTCCACCTATCTGGATTTGATGTCATTTCTGGTTCCTGGTCAGGCTCCTCCCGGCCCGGAATATTCTGCTTACCAACCTCCCCTTCAGTAAAGAAAAAGCGTCCCCCTCCCCTCGTCTTACTACCCCTCGACCGGAACCCATAACTGACCTTCCTCAACGAAGCCCCATACTAACCCGACAATTGACCGGTACCCTCCAACCCCGACATTATCAAATGCCTCTCCGATTGACACTGGGCCCGACACACATTAATGGTGAAGGCCAGTTACAACATGCCGACCCCGTATTTGTTTATGTTCCCTTTACCACTACGGATTTGTTCAACTGGAAAACCCATAACTCCTCTTACACAGACAAACCTCAAGCCATGACAGATTTGATTACCTCCATAATCCAAACGCATAATCCCACTTGGGCTGATTGCCAGCAATTGCTTATGACATTGTTTAATAACGAGGAAAGGACTCGGATTAATCAGGCGGCAATTAAAGCGCTTGAAGAAGTGGCCCGTGCACAGAATCAGGCCAACCCGGTAGCATGGGCCGCAGCTCATTACCCAAACGTAGATCCAAATTGGAATGTTAATGGTGCTGATATGGCTCACCTAAAAGCTTATAGGGAAGCCATTATTACTGGCATGAAAGCCGGAGGTAAAAAGGCGATCAATATGTCAAAGACGACTGAGGTATTGCAGAAATGTGATGAGTCACCTAGTGCCTTTTATGACCGATTATTGGAGGCATATCGATTGTATACCCCCTTTAGTTCAGAGGCTCCTGAGAATTCCCGGATGGTTAACTCTGCCTTTGTCAGCCAGGCTTACGGAGATATTAAAAGAAAATTGCAAAAGCTAGAAGGGTTTGTAGGGATGTCTATAACTCAACTAATGGAAATAGCAAATAAGGTTTATATGAATAGGGAGATAGAGACGAAGAAGGAAGAAGAGCGTAAGATGAGAAGGAAGGCAGATATGTTAGCGGTAGCTATCGCTGGTGTAGATAGAAGGGAAAAGGAAGTGTACAGGGGAACCGAGAAAAGCGAGAATAAGTGGAATAGGGAGCCTTTAAGTAGGAACCAATGCGCATATTGTAGGGAAGAAGGGCATTGGAGGAGTGAGTGTCCATTGAGGGAACAACATGAGAGAGATAGAACAAGGGGAGGATATAGTAATAACTATAGAGTGAGAGGAAGAGGAGGCCCTGGAGGAAATGGTGGGAATAGTAGAGGAAGCGTTCAAGGGGATAGGTATTACCCAGCAGCGCAGAGACCGCGAGAAAGAGAAGATAGGGACTTTGTGGGTTTGGCTGACACTGTCATGGAGGACTATTGATACCGACCGGGCTCCATCCCCCTTGGTCGAGCGGAGCCTATGGTCGATGTAGCAATAGGGGGAAAAAGGAGTTCTTTCATGATCGACACTGGTGCTGAACATTCTGTGGTAACCGACCTAGTTGCTCCTCCTTCAGGAAGAACTATCACTGTAATAGGAGCAACTGGGAGGAGTGCTGCTAAACCGGTTCTCAAAAGTCGACTCTGTACACTGGGAGGCCACGTAGTGAAACATCAGTTCCTTTACATGCCTGAATGTCTAGTCCAACTTCTAGGACGGGATTTGTTGTCGAAGTTACAAGCACAGATAACATTTCTGCCTAACGGAACGACATCCTTGAAGTTTAATGGACCCTCAGGTATAATGACACTATCAGTACCAAAGGAAGAAGAGTGGCGACTTTATACAGTGATGACAAGTCAAAACTCTAAGAGTGATGAATCCTTGTATAATATACCAGGAGTGTGGGCAGAAAATAACCCACCAGGACTTGCTCGCAATATCCCACCTATACGCATCGAACTAAAGTTTGGGGTTTATCCAGTAAGCCTGCGACAATACCATATACCTCAAAAGGCGAAGAAGAACATACAGTCTTATTTGGATAAGTTCATAAGGTATGGTATCCTAAAATTCTGTACTTCCCCCTGGAATACTCCATTGTTGCCTGTTCAGAAGCCTGGGTCAGATGAGTATCGTCCTGTGCAGGATTTGAGAGCAGTCAATGATGCGGTAGTAAGTATACATCCAGTTGTGCCCAATCCTTATAACCTGCTTGCCTTGATTCCGGGTGGGGCTACTTACTTTACTGTCTTGGACCTTAAAGATGCCTTCTTTTGCCTACGAATTGCTACAGAAAGACAGTGTATCTTTGCATTCCAATGGGAAGATGCTGTAATGGGCTCGCAACGTCAGATGACCTGGACAAGATTGCCCCAAGGGTTTCAAAATGCACCTACCCTATTTGGATCAGCATTAAGTCAGGACTTATTAGATTTCAAGTCCATCCCAGGAGAATGTGTACTACTACAATACGTGGATGATTTGTTGATAGCGGCAGTTACTAAAGAGATATGCCAGTAAGCAACTTATGATTTACTGCACATTCTTTGGAAGGCAGGATACAAGGTGTCCGGGAAGAAAGCTCAGTTGTGTCAGCCAACTGTCAAGTATCTGGGATTCCATATCTCTGAAGGTCAAAGGATAATGGGGCCTGAAAGAAAAGAGGCTGTATGCCAAATACCAACACCTAAGAATAGAAGACAAGTGTGAGAATTCTTAGGGGCAGCAGGCTTCTGTAGGATATGGATTCCCAGTTATGCGATACTGGCGAAACCCCTCTATGCCGCTATTAAAGGCACGGAACACGATTCCTTCCTGTGGACCATCGAACAGCAGAAGGCATTTGAGGATGTTAAGAAGGCATTGATGAGCGCCCCCGCATTAGGTCTACCTGATCATACACGTCCATTCTACTTATATGTACACGAGCAAAGAAGGATGGCTGTGGGAGTACTGACACAGTATCTGGGATCATGGCAACGACCTGTTGCGTATATGTCCAAACAACTGGATGCAGTAGCCAGTGGTCTTCCTCCTTGTCTAAGGGCCGTAGCTGCCGCCGCCCTGTTGGTAGCAGAAGCTGACAAGCTCACTCTGGGTCAGGAACTCTATGTGCGAGTCCC